ATTGATGCCACGCGCACATACAGAGGGGCAAGGCTTTAATCATGAAGGTGGACTGTCATCTTGTCTGTTTCGACACATGTATACCCTGTGGATGCAGCTGGTCACTTTGGGGAGATGAAAATCTATTCTGAATTACAGTATACCAGCTCAGTATCAGGAAATATCCATATCTAATACACACCTCTGCTTTCTACTTACATAGTGTAACTGTGCCTATCAGTTAGAAAAAAGAAATTGACTCGGTGCTCCATGCTCATTACCCAAAGTATTTTTTATAATGATTTTATTAAAGATTACAACATACAGATATGTTGCAACACTAATGCAAACTACAAAAGATAAAAAAGAAAAAGGGAAAAAATAGAAAAAAGAAAAAAATTAAAAGAAGAAAAAAGAAAAGAAAAAGAAGTAACTTCCCCTTTCTTCCCAGCAAGCATATACTGTACAACCTCAACAACTCATGAGGAGCAGCTCTCTGGAATACATGTGGGTTATCTCATGATCTCTCCTTTCTCCGGAGTGATTTCGCCAGTCCAGACCCAGTGTCCAGCCGCTATCTCCCCCGTAAACGTTGTGCCGCGTTGCTGGGACATTCACCTCACCATAGCACTCACCGGAAGTCCCTCCTCATTACCCAAAGTATTGACTCGTGTTTTATTATGTTATTACTAGTTAGATAAGAGAAGATTTTATTTTTCTAGGGCGGTACCGTGTTGTTATGTTGTATATTGTATATTGGTTGCAATATTTTTGATAATATATTGCCTGTACATAAGTGGGTTTCCTGCATTTCAACTCTTTCTCTGTTTTTCATTCTGAACAATCTCTTTGCAGATAACTTCTAATTTGCAAATTTGGCTCCATGTTTGGATGGTGCTCTGATCTAAACCTACATACATTCACCTGGTAATATTTAAAAGAGGTGAATGTGAATAATATTTAAAAGAGGTATTTTCTAGTGAAAATACATTAGCAAGCTGTCTTTATTTACAGCTGTTTAAAAGGCAGACTTAATTCAAATGTACTGGAGAATTTCTGTTCAGTTTTTTTTTTCCATTCTGTGAGCTGTATCCTTTATCTTGCACCTTATTGAAGAACTTCCTAATCAGAAACTCTTGTGTAACTCCTGTCCTTGATACTCCTATCCTTATCTTGTTTGTCATAATATAATCTCTTGTTTGCCAGCATATAAAATTGGTATTTTATCAGGAAAATCTCTCCCTTTCTCTTTTGTTGCTTCCATGAAAATGTGTCCACATGTGCATGCACACGCTATATATTCTTATATAACTTTACCTTCAGGCTATAAAATACCTCAGGCAGAAAAGTAGCTTTCCTTAACATGGTTGTAAACATTTGAAAATTATATAAGGATAATTTTAATAACTTTCTGAGTGCTACAAGGATTTTGGAGCTGACAATTTGGAACTGCAGAAATTATCTAATCCAAGAAGTATTTGGGTTACATTGTCAACTGGGTTGTGAATTTGTTTTTAATAATAGGCAACTTGTTTGGAATTCTATAGCACTATGTACAAGTTTTTTTTTTTAACTGATTTGTTTCCATTTAGTTCCCTTGGACTTTATTTTAGATGAGAAAGGGATCTTGGAAAAGATTAGCACAGCATAAAATATAAAGATGGATGTGGAATAAAAAATACATGTGTAATAGTGCTGGTGGAAAATAATTACTTTTCTACCTCCCTCTTAGCTCCTAAGACTTCCCTGTGTCCAAGCAGAATCCATCTGAATAGAGTGAGGCATGGGGAACTGAAGAGAGAAACTCTCCCCCACCCCACCCCACCCCACCCCACCCCAATAGAGAATCATTCCACAAGTAGACTCACATATTCACTGGAGCTCCCTAACCCTTAAGGAAGCATTTTCAAAAGACAACTAGGAGGAAAAAAGGTTTGAAAGCTGGTGTCCACTAATCATATTATATATGTTTTAGTTTAGTGTCCCACTATGTGTTTAAAGCATTTGACATGATAGTTGTCCTGCATCTGCCTGTAAGGCAACTCAGTATTATTTTCTGAATACAAACATGCTAGAGATGCTCATAATATCAAAGGATGCAAATCTAGTGAATAAAACTGCCTTATGTCTCAATACAGAAATAACCTTCAGTATGAGGTGCTTTGGGAACAGAATGGCAGTCTCTCATCCCATTTAATATCCTCTTAAAATTGCTTCTGCTTCTTAATGGTAAAACTTATAAAGACCCCCTGATTTATCATTTCAGATATACAAGAAATCTTGTAGATAAAGGAAATGGAAAATTCAACCTGATTATCTTATGCTGGGGAGAAGGTCACGGCAGGTTTGTAATTTTCAAAAGACTATGGATGCAATTTTACAATGTGTTACAACTGTGCCAACCTGAATGCATTCTGAAGACAGCATTGTTTGTATCATAACTTAGCAATAGATGGTTAAATTCCACCTTTCCTAAAGATTGATAACTTTTTAATTCACAGATCTAAACCAGATGTGCAACAGCTATCAATGGCCACATTTTTGTATACCTGATTACTTCTAATAGTCACTAGTCAGCTCATGATGCTTCATTGGTGCTTGCTGATTTCTCTTGAAGTAGGTTTTTTTTTCCTTTCCATAAGCCTACAATGGCTGTGGCCCTGTTTCCCAGAAAGTATTGTGCCGCCTCCCCTGTTCAGCCTGTGAAAGCTAGCCAGAAAAGATACAACTTGCTTTGATCCCAGGAAGGCAAGTGAAGATGCAGATCTGCTCTGTGCCTGCATTCAGCAGCCCCAGGACTATTCCAAAAGAAAACCATGTTTGACCATGCTGCTGCTTGTATTCCCCATCTCCAGAACTGAGACTGTTAACAGGACTTCTCATAAAAGACCAGTTACCAAAATGGGGGCTCAAAAGTGCAACCTCCCCACACACACCACACACATTTTCAAAAAGAGAACTGAACTTGACTTCTAGCAATTTTGTGTACTCAACCGTGAGTTTTTTCGGCAACGGTATATAAAGGGTTTTCCATTGCCATCTTCTGGAAGGTTTTTCTACTTCCAGGTCTCAGCCCTCAAAGTCCCTCCTGGTCTCCCATGCAAATACCAACCAGGCCTGACCTTGCTTAACTTCTGAGCTCAGACAGATCTCTTTTAAAAAGAAATAAGCATCAAATACAGAACTTCTGTTCCTGGAAGGGTAGATAGATTCAGAGTCACTCTTCTCCCCCATGCTTGGATCTTTATTTCTCCAAATATTTTTTTAGTATTTAATTTTCAAGCATTCTTTTCTTACACTTTAAAATTGAGTATGACTTCATAACTGACCCAAGAACCAGCCCATCAGTCCTGTGTATGCATACCACGTTTGAGAACGGGGAGGAATTCATTTATAGATGT